AAGACCAAAAGTAACATTCTAAAATAACATCTATCCAGCAAATTTACCGCCCTGTTCAATCTCCCAGAGTAGAATCTTTCTAAAGAGATCCTTAAACAAGTTTATTTTACAGTCCTTTTCCACATGTACTATGTACTTATTATAGTGATACCATAACTGAGTATAGTCAAATCAAGTCACCTTTATTTGTATATCACTTTATACAATACAGATTGTGTCAAAGCAGCTTCACAGTGGCAAACAGGAAAACAGTTTGTCAATAATGCAAGAAGACAATAACAAAGAGTGAATTTTTCAAGTTAAAGTCAGTTCATTGATGATTCAGTGATGTCACCATCCAGTTCAGCTCTCTTCCAATAGTGTCTGTGTAACCAGTCAAACGTCCCCAACTAAGCAAGCCAAAGGTGACAGTGGCAAGGAACAAAACTCCATCGGTGACAGAAATGCAGAAAAAATCTTGGGAGAAACCAGGCTCAGTCAGGGGGCCAGTTCTCTTCTGGCCAGACGAAACCAGCATGGCGTGGTTTAATTCCAGGCTGCAACACAGTTCAGATTGTGCAGAGGACTTGTCTGGTTCCCGTGGTCTTGTCCCGATGGCCGTCTAGTTGACGCGGTCTTCGCTGGGGATCTGTCTATAGGGCTCATCTAGTTTAGATGGTGTCCGCTGACATTCAGGGCTGTAGAGGTCGTCTCTAGGTCCTGATCCACCATCTGATCTGAATACGGACTGGATCTGTATGACCACAAGTACATCGGGTGTTATGGGAAGTGTTCCCAGTTCCAGTTGACCTAATTAATGCAGCCTAACAATCCTTTAATGGATTTGAATTAAATGTGATGTGTATTATGTGTATGCAAGGTTAAAGACATGGGTCTTTAATCTAGAATTAAACTGAGGGTGCTTTCACACCTGGCCCGTTGTTTCGGAACCTGGTGCATTTTTCAAAATGAACCTGTGAATGTCTGTGGGTGAGCACGTCTTTGCCATTCAAAAATCAAAGCGCACATTTTCATTTTATAATGCCGTCTTATTGCTCTTCATCCTAGTAGGTGCAATTTAAAAATGTTTTCCCGATGAATCCTGGACTCCTGCTGAAAATGATAAATTATTATAAGGACAGCTACAAAAAAAAAAACAACAATAAGCCCGCGAAGCTGTTGTCGTTCCATCCTGACGGATGACAGCCGTGACAGCGGTGGAATCCCGGAAAATAAACTGTGGAACTTTGACCAATGAGAGAACAGTTTACTCGCTTGACTTGTATTAACAAATTTGGTCCGTTTAGAAACTTTGCCGTGTGAAAGCGAACCGCACCAAGAATAAAAGGCAACATTGTAATAATTTTAATCCCTGTTTCGGAACAAAGCAATCGATCTACAGGTGTGAAAGCACCCT